GCAAGCCCCTGTGTTGAAAATTTCCTGAAAAGGATGAAAATTTAGAAATTTCAGCGGATGCTTCGGATTATGCGGTAGGAGCGGTACTTTCGCAAAATCAGCAGCCCGTGGCATTTTTTAGCCGAACTTTAAATCAAACACAAAGAAACTATTCCGCGACCGAGAGAGAGGCACTTGCAGTTCTGTTAGCAGTGCAAAAGTTCCGAGTCTATTTTGGAAAGGCGCCGATAACAGTATACTCTGATCATGCGGCGGTAACTAGATTGTACTCGGGAAAAAATTTATCCCCAAGGTTAATAAGATGGGCACTCAAGCTGCAAGAATATAATCTGGTAATCAAGCATACCCCCGGAAAGGAAAATATCGTAGCAGATGCCCTATCACGAATTAAATTAGACGAACAGGGTAATACCGTAAAAGTTGCAATGCTTACAGCGTGTACAATAAATTCCCGAGAAACTGTAATAACCGAACTGGGTAAGGATCCTGAGTTTGGAAGTATTTATGAGTATTTGAAGGATCCTGAAAATTTTAGCCACCAAGATATTGTGGCGATAAGAAATAGGGCGGCCCATTACGAACTAATAGATGGTCTATTATTCTATACAAAAACTACGAATTCCAACAACGAATTTCGACCTGTTATCCCAGCTAGTCTTAGATTAAATATCCTGCAGGAGCTCCATGACAGCCCTTTAGCTTCTCATGCTGGTATTCGAAAAACTATCCAACGCGTACGCGAGGCAGTCTACTTTCCTGAACTGCAAAAGTTAACAAGGGCGTATGTCCAGTCCTGCCCAACATGTCAAGCCGTTAATTATATTAATTTCCGCCCGGCCGGGTTTCTAAATAGTATTAAATCCGAATTTCCAAATGAAATAATTGGCATCGATTTATTGGGCCCTTTCCCAAAAAGTCAGTTAAATAAAAGTCGCTATCTCCTTGTTATGGTTGATCATTTTAGTAAATGGACCGAAATTGTTCCCTTAAAACGAGCCTCCTCCGCGAAATTAGTTACCGATTCTATTTTAAATAAATATATTTTAAAATACGGGGCGCCCCTAAAAGTTATATCGGATAATGGTCCTCAATTTGTAAGTAATATATTTGAAGACATGTGCCAAAAACTGGGCATACGTCATTTAAAAATGGTCCCGTATCGGCCGCAATCAAATATAGCGGAACGGGTCAACAGAAATATAGTGAAAATTATCCGTAGTTATGTTAAAAATTTTCATAAAAGCTGGGATAACTATGTCAATGAATTTGCTTTCGCCCTTAGGACCGCAAAACATGATACAACGGGCAAAACTCCTGCTGAGTTATTTCTAGGCAGAAAGATTATAACACCGTTAGATAAATTATTTTATGTGCAACAAAGAGCCCCAGAATTTAAAATGGGTGATATAGAAAAACTAATAAAAGAAGCAAAAAAGAATACGGAAGTAGCACAAAGAAAACAGAAGCTCTATTATGATTTGAAACGACGGGGAGTAACTTATAAAGTAGGGGATGAAGTTTTAAAAATTAAGCATTCACTTTCTTCAGCACCAGAAGATAAAACTGCCAAATTTTTTCCACGATTTGAAGGACCATATGTTATAGAAAAAATAACTCACGCTGTTGTAGTAGTGTTAAAAGCCAGAAATGGTGAAACCTGTTCCGCAAACATTGATCAAATCAAGCCCTACTTCGATCGTAATAAAATGCAAATCTTTTCAGATCTTTTGCAGGATCCGGCACGGCAGACACCGCAGGTACAAGTTCCAGAGGTGGAAAAACGACAAGTACAAGGGCAAGCCAATGAGAGACAGAAGCAAGTGAAAAGAAAATTGCCCCGCGGAAAAATTGAAGGTAACAAAGAAAAAGAAGCCGTTCCACCGTCCAGAAAAGAGAGTTCACGAACACCCCCAGAATGAAGAAGGGAGAAGGACGACGTATGTGAAGAGAACCAGGAGAAATGACGGCAACTATAACCCGGCTTAAAAACGGAAGATCGACTCATCCGACAGAACTCTCCGCAGCAAAAGTCGCCGAACTGCGGAAGGGCCATCAGCGGCGGAGGAAAAAGTACAAGGAAAAATTTGAACGGCCAACAACGAGGTCCAAGCAGGATCACGACAGAAGTTTCCCGGTTCCGCCAAGACCAGCTGCCATTCAAACGGCCAAGACCACAAGCAGAGGAGAAAAGGAAGGTATTCAAGGGTGGCCGTAACTGGTGAAAAAAGGGAAGCTTCCAGAGGAAAGCACTGAAGGGCGAGCCCGTACAAGAAGGAGGATAAATCCAAGCTACTATCTGCAGTACCTTTAAAGACTGGGCCCAGAAAAGGATGTCCGAATATTACAAAGATAAGTAAAATTTTATGTTACTTTGCAAACTTAAGTTAATCTTTCATTCTTACTGCAAGTGGCAGATTTCAAGAAGTTTTACCTCATGCGAGGTCTACCTTTATCGCCAAAAGGGCGAGAAATGAGTTGTGACCGATTTTCTATTATGTTTTTCAATTACTCGCGCGTAAAACTAAAGTTGATGTATAATAGCGTTGTGTAAAGACTTAAATATTGTAAAAAGTTATTGTATAAATTTTATTTAAAACATTCTAGCAAGAGAAGAAGTTTTAGTCTGAAAGACTTTTTGAAATGTAGTATTTCAATGTAGAAAGAATTGGCACTTGCTTTGAAAAGAATAGAAGTTAACAATGTACTACTAATGTATGTTTTCAAATGTGTAAAATTAACGGCATGTTGATATGTTCTTATATACAATGTGAACTGTTATTTTAAATGTTAAGAAATACCGTGATATGGTAAAAGTGAAAGTAATGTTAAAAATTTGTTATTCGTGTGACTGTAAAGACTTAAATCATGGCGAATATGTGTTAAAGGTTGAATGATGTAGTTAGGCTCTCTGACGCTACACTTTAGAGTTAGCCACTTTTCAGAATAGTACCTCAGGGTTTAGAGTTGAAATTAGGGTGTGTTAAGAGGTCTCGTTATGTTGAATTTTAACACGTTAGTGTTTTGATTGTAGGAGGAAGTGTGGAACACGTAGACAGAAACACATTCGTGTTTGGTGTTCTTTTACAACACATGTCAGAGAGCACGGGGAGAGATAATTAAAATAGTCATGAATGAAATAAGAATGTTAAGAGAAAGTATAATTCTATATGTTACTTTGCCAATGTCATTGTGTAACATTTCATTAAACTAGTTTTCCTTCCAGATCTCTGGAAGGAACCAGAATTGAATAAAGCTCCTGTTTAGATGCAGTACAGATGAAAAAAAAAAGATTGTTGTATATCCTGGGAGCTGCTATTGTAACAAATTTCTTTCTTTTAAATTTTCTAGTTTCTAGCGAAGTTATGTTTTGTAAAAGGTTGGCCTCGCGTTAGATTCTAGAGCTAAAAGTTTTCAACAAGGTCGTTTTAGACCTCAGTTTCAAACTAATTAACTCTGGCGGGAAGTATGTAAGGATCTTAAGTTTTACTAACGTTTATTTTATTTTAAATCTTTACTATCACTTCTTATTTTCTACTTCCGGCCAGAATTATAAGCGTGAAGGTTTTATGCAAAGTTTGTCTGGCGAACGCCAAGTATTTAAGTTGTGGCCTTTTTGCCAAGCGAGAGGAGAGGAAGCAGTGAGTTCGAAGCAGGCCGCTTACCTTAGAAGTTACGCAGTTGCTGTTTGCCTTCCAGGCCAGAGGTTTTAATCCTCTTGATAAATTAAACGTATTGTAGTGTTCACAGTCTCTGTGCTACATACGCTTCCTGTTATTATAAGGCCAATCTTCCACGGTTATTATTCTAAAGTTAAATTAGAGTTTAGTTTTATTTTTATACTTTTACGTTAGACCCCGAGTGGAGGGTCAGTTGTATTCCGAAGTACGGAAGTTATTGTATATAGAGAAAAATAAAGGGTTTTGTATACCCTTCGTCTGTATCCTGTCTACTTACCACAATTAGTGAACATAGCTTTAGTAAGCTCTCTGTTCCGAGTCAGGTCCTTGCATGTTCCCGAAGAAGGTAAGAAGGAACATTGACCCTGATAGGCTTTGGAATGCTGTTTCCGTTTACTCGTATACAATGTCTTTTGCAACACAAGGGACAGATGATAATGCATATACCGATCCATTTAAACTCACAAATCACGGTGCATAAGCCTCGAAACTGACGATTTATTCGAAAATATCGTGTGAAAGATGACGTATCTGATTTAGTTTGTGATGTGCGATATCATTGTAAACACATGACATAATTAACTCTAGAATTGAGGGTCTCTGTCAGAGAAAGACGGAGAAGAAAGATAAAGAAGTGAGACCACTGCATCTTAGCCAAAAAAATTACTTAAAGCGTTTGAGAGAAGTCTCGAGCCATCGCGAATTAAAAACATCTAATATAAAATCAAAAGAAAAGTCGCGCCATAAAAAAGGAACATATATATAGTACATTAAAGTACACAAAACATAAATACCAAAATAGCATCGTTTGGTTAATACCAAACGATGCGACGAATAATGACGGTGCGCAAGAAAATTACATTTGTTATTTGTCCGCTTAAAGCGTTTTCTTTACTTTGCAAGAAAGTTACGTATAGGGAAAGGAAAAGTGCTCTTCAGCGATGCACTTAAGGTGTGACCATGCATTTTTACGATAAAAATGATTAGCTTTTGTGTTTTATATCACCTGTTAAAATTTCTTCTATTAGATTTTAAACACTCTATATTTATGCAGAAGCAATAATTCAATAATATTATAAGCAATGTTTGAGTGAACATTAAGAACTACAAATTTTGCCCTTATATTTTCATAGTACAAGTATTTGAATTCAAAATTTAAATTAAAGTATTATAATACCTTTAATCAGAAATTCTTACGTGTTTATAAATATTCCTAAATATGTATTTCAACGGATGACGTTTAGTGACGTCAGTCATTCCATCTAATTTTTCTTGAAATTTCGAGTTGAGTCCTCTAAAAAATAATGTTTTATCGATACTTACAAGATGGTCATTTATGTACCAACGAAGAGTCGCAGCTGGTTTTGATTTGGCCGATGTGCAGTTTATGGCAACAACGTCCCCGACGTTATATCTGTTTTGCCCTCCAGTAATCTTGGGCCCCTCCGTCGGTAGAACTGAAAGACAAATTTATTTTTGTGAGAATGAATTGTAAGGATCAAGATCATAACAGTTACATGGCTCTTTATCTTCTGGGCGTTTATCTCGAGATCAATATAGATATTAAGATTTACAGTCGTAAAAAAGTTTTTGAAAGCTGAAAGTTTAGAATCGGGTAAAATTCTCAAACAGAAATTTCATATATAGGTCGCCGCAGCTAGCTGAGAGTATGTACAATAAAAAATCGCCATCTTGTTATTACTTTGGCATAAGTAAATTTTCTCTGCAATTTCTTAAATACTATACTCGTAATCTATAATTGCTTCTAACTGTATTTCTATGCAAAAAAAATCTTCATTTTTATAAGTTTCGAAACTCTAAAATGTATCGAAATTGTTTTCATAAGTTTCTATACTTTATCTTGAGAAGCTTATAAAGTAATTTCTCCTTTCTTTTCCCGTGTCTGCCCAGTGTAATTGAAGCATACACGAAGCACTTTCGAGTGTCTTGTTTCGAAAAACGCTAATGATTCTATAAGTGGCGCCCGAACTAAGGCTGATGATAATTCGTCCACACCAGATTTTAGTGACTGGATTCTCTAATCCCCAGCCATACATTTAAAAGGGAGGTTACATAAAGTATTTTCTTCCTTCTTTCTGCGTGCCTTCATGGTGTAATTGGTAGCATACTCGAGGCGTATTCGAGAGTTTCAAGGTTCGAGTCCCGGAGAGGGCAATGCACATTTTTCACGTCTCCTGCTTCCCCAAAACCTAACAACAAACTTAATACAGAGGTTTAAGAAACGAAACGTATAAGGTTATAAGGTATTTTCTCTTTCCTTCTAGTATGCTTTCGTGGCGTAACGGTTGTGCACTCGACGTGTATTCGAGAGGTCCAGGTTCGAATTCCGGCGAGAGCATTGCACATATTTCATGTCTCCGTCTTCAAAAAAACGTAATGACTCTACAGTGGCATCGCAGTTAAAAAAGATGGTGGACAGTAATTCATCATCACCAGGATTCGGCAACTAGGTCCCCTAATTTCGAGTCGCCCTTTAAAGGGGGAATTCTTTTCAGCATGCTTTCGCGGTGTAACGGTAGCACACTCGGTGAGTGTTCGAGAGTTCCATGTTGGAGTCTCGGAGGAGGCATAGCAAATTTTTCACGTGTGCTGCTTCAAAATAAGCTAATGACTCCACAAGATATTAGTTAAAAAGTAACGCCTGTAACCTCTGCTTTTGAGCATTCCATTCAACACACCGTATACAAATCCAAGAGCGCAATTTATATTATCAGGTATAAAACTTCATTAATGCTTACTTAGAGACATTTAAGGAAATTATCACTTCTAGTGACAGGAACTGCAAGCACTGTTAATATAAGTTTAATTAGTTTACCCCTTCATTTACAAATATATATTCGTTAACTACGCTTTTATAGGTGTATTTAAACCGAAACTGAAATGATTAATATTTTAATAGGTTATGAAAAATGAAGAAATTATGTGAAATAGAAGTGTTTAGAAACTAAATGTTTCTTATTGTAAAATATATTTGCAAGTGTAATTTTATTTATGTAATTCGATATTAAGAAGGGTCTACATCTTCAAAAGTCACGTTTGAAGCTATATGTAGTATTTAAAGGTTAGGCTAGGCTAGGTTAGGTTATTTAATTACGGTAAAGCCTAGAGGGCTAGATGCCTAAGGGGAGGGATGCCTTCGTGGTGTGTATTTAATTATGGCAAAGCACAATAGGACTATCTGCCTAAGGGGAGGGATGCCTTCGTGGAGGACGTTCTAGGGAAAACTAGTTCGTATACACGTTACACATGGGGAAAACCACGAAAACACCCATGCAGCTAGCCCGTTCGCGGAATTCGAACCTCGAACCGAACTACCAGTGTTCAGCGACTTTACCGCTCGGCCGCTGGTGGGCAGTAGTATTTAAAAGAAAAATAATTATAAATAAGGTATGGTAATCTGCATAATTACTTTTACAGATAACAGTGGGAAGATACCGATATGCACATTTTTAGTATTATATATAAACATTGTTTTAATTAAACGATACTCAGAATTAACTTTATCTATGTAAAATCTCATTGAGTATTAACATCCAGGCTTCAGTAATTCTTTCTTATGAAAGAAGATTTGGTATTAAATATCTCCTCTCAAAAACCAGACAGAAATTGACGTTTGTGGTCGCCTTTGTTTCAATTATTATGCAACTGTTTACTACAGTATGGCATTTGTATAGAATAGTATATATTTTGATTTTTAGATTCATTTTTTGTATCACATATTGTAATTTAAGTGTTTCTATTTAGGTTGTGAAAGCTTTTTCGTTTTGTTTTTCTGTCTGAATGCACTGAATAAAAGTTATATGTATATGCCTTTGTATTTACTACAATATAGTACGAATACTACGCCCTTCCTATTCATATAATAGACACTAAAAGTGCATTCATAAAGAAATTTAGGTGACTGCTTTCACATTGGATTTACTAGCATTGCTGAAACCTGTTTTGTTTTTGGTTCGAGGTGATAATAAACGCAGTTAACTTCTCTTTCTCTGTTCATATAATGGGCTACATTATCTGACTATGACTAGTGTTTTAGCGGTTATCACAGAATGCAGAATGCAGAAGAAATTTTTTCAGTATTGAAAATAGAAGTTACTTTCAATCTTCTTTCACAGAAATTATATAACTCAAATTTTAATTTCAAATTTCCAAATAGATTGAATTTATAGGGACATAATATTAAATCATTTTTAACCATTTAATCATAAGAAATTTAATTACAGACATATAAAATCAAGAGAAATTATTTCCGTTATTTTTTATGATTAACTGAAACATTATTCTCACCCTGAAAAACAAAAAAGCATCTACAAATTTAAACGTGTAGTTCACATTAAACATAAAACATTAGGACAAACATTCCTAAAACGCAGACTGCAATATGGACTAGCATATAATTAAAATGACCATATTTTCTACCTTTAAATCAAAGTATTGTTTTATTCTCACATTTATAAAACAAATATGCATTCGAATAACATAGTACTAATTAAAAATAACGTAATATATACAAATATTTAATAACATTATTATTTGCTTTAATTAACGTTATACACTGTGTAAAGTCATTAGGAATTTTCAGGGCGAAAAACATAAAAAACTTGCAATGCCCCTTGCCCAGATTCGAACCTCCGGCCTCCCGAGTGCTAGTTAGACGTGCTTCCAATTACACGATGAAGGCATACCGTAAGGAAAGAAAGAGTTCCTTTACATTCTCATTCACTTAACGGGCGAATGGAGAGACGGGGAATCCAGGTAGTGATGAATTATCATCCATGACACATTTTTAGTTCGGCCGTCACAGGAAAGATTAGGTTTGTCTTTGGAACAGACAATATAAAACAAAGATGATACTCTCACTGTAATTCGGGCTTCAATGCTTTCGAGTGCTAGAATACTACGAAATTCCTACTACGAAATACTACGAAACTACGAAATTTCAATAACACTTAAAATTACACTACGAAAACACGTGGTAAGGAAGGAGAAAAATCCCTTACATTTGCATTAAAGAAATATTCTTATTTGAAGGCTCTTATTAATTTTCTTATTAATTAAAAATTAATTCCATTTAGTAAACTAACATTATGAATTTTTTATTACATATCTATTACATTTTTAACGTTTCATTTTGAATGTTCAATTTAAAAAAATGCGAAATAATTAAGATTTCCTACTTCCGATCATCTGTTTAAATTCTGTAGTTTACACATGAGTACAATTTTAAATGCAAATAAATTCACTAGACAAATGTATTAGTTTCCAATATATTCGTATGGCTAATGACGTATGCAGCAACATGAAACTCAAGAAAACTAAGAAACAAACGTAAATTTCATTTTATAAAAATTATGTTTATAAAATCAACCTGTGTGTAAATATTAAATCACGCTATTTCTAAAAGAAAGTATTAGATCATAAATTAATTAAAAAATTTTAATGTTTCAGAACTAAAACATTTCATGTGAATATACAGACTAGTAAAAGAGACATTACCAGTTTTGGGAGTAGATTATCTCAAAGCTCTTTTTCAAAAATACGGAATGAACGAAATTTAATCTTAATTCGTCTAATTTTAATCTTAATTTAATCTAAATTAGAAATTTTAATGAAATTTAATAAATATTAAATTTGATATTAGTCTTTATTGCTCTTACATGCCAATCGCATCTTCAGATCAATTACACGTGATAACAGTAATTCGACCTCAACGGCGTAACTTAAGATATTGCTGTAAAGTGCTTTGCGGATAAGAATGAGACAATTATATAGATTAGGTATGAGAAAATAAAGATACGAATGAAATTTTTTCAATTTGCTGCCGTAACAACTATCAATTTCCTTAAAAGAAAATAGGAATTTGAGTTAAATACTAAAAGCGTTTGTGAAATGGCTTACCACTGAATAAAAGATATTAAGAACGTCAAAATATGCTTTTATAATTGATATGTCTAAAGAAGCAGAACATCTATGATTAAATATTGCAGAAACACTGAAATATCACTGAACTCCAAGGCAGAGGTTTAAAAATTTCGGAGAGAGGAATTATTGAAAGTAAATACACCAAAGATAAAAGTGGAGCCTAAATATTTCATTTAGTTCCAGAGAATTTACCCTCGGCTATTTTTTATAATGGCCGGGCGCTTAATTTAATAACCATTAGCCTCGCGCCACTACAAGAGCCAGAAGTGGTTGTCATTTCATTATGGAAGCACCTAACGGGCGGACACCATTGTCTTCTATGAAGGCATGGACAGTTACAGCCATGCATTCTTCGGGATTCGAGCCCGGGCCCACCGTTACGGCAGTCAGAGCTACTAACCACTGTACTGGCTGGGTTGCACCCTCGGCAAATAAAGACACAAAAATAACATACCATGAGGACATCCAGAACAAATCTTAGTAAGACAGGCCAGACATATAATTATTTTAATGC